GGTGTGCCAACACAGGTTCGAGCTTGTACTGTACTAGGATCATCTACTACTACTACTACTACTACTACTACTCCTACTCCTACTGCTACTGCTACTGCTACTGCTACTGCTACTGCTGCTGCTCCTGCTGCTCCTGCTGCTGCTGCTGCTGCTACTGCTACTACTGCTACTACTGCTACCACTGCTGCTGCTACTACTGCTTCTGCTACTAGTAGTAGTACTACTACTACTACTACGACGACGACGACGACGAGGAGGACGACGAGGACGACGACGACGACGAACTCCTACTCCTATTCCATCAGTTCCTGGGTATGTCTATTACGCTTACCCCTACTCCTGCTCCTGTTCCTAGTCCTCCTCCTCCTACTACTACTACTACTACTACTACTACTACTACTGCTACTACTCCTACTACTACTACTACTACTACTACTACTACTGCTACTCCCTATTCTGACGCATGCTCCTACTCGTGCTTGTGCTCCAATCCTGCCTTTGCTCCTATCCCTACAACTATCTGATCGTAGGAGTTCGAATAGTTCTAGTCGGAATAGCAGCGAGACCAATGCACAGTGTTAATATGCAGCATCACAGTGGCAAGGGCACGCTTGTGGGAGTCATAGTCAGAACGTCACACATAGTCACTAGTCCCGAGCCCCAAATTCCAGATTGGGATCGGGACACAGGCTGTCCGCCGAGCCCGTTCCGGGCTGAAGAACCCGAACCGGCCTATCGCGACCCGGCCGTCAGGATTTCCAGTGGGTTAAGGACTTCGGGTTTCGGGCACAGGATTTGGGGATGTCGACGCCCTGCGTCGAGAGGAGCTCGAAGGAGGGCTGCTCTTCGCACCACTAAGAGGGTCATCTTGAGTTGAACCTGCATGCTTTAAGTCAGTTTCATGCCAGCAGCCGTAGCGCCAAACGGGTCATACATTGGAAGTCCTGCCCCTGCTGTTCCAGTTCGCTAAATCCCTCTAAGCCCAGATGTATCCACATTTGGTTTCTAGCTACAGCGAAAACATCGTTCCTGATGAAACTGCCATCATTCTGGTGGTCTACCGCCCGAAGACTCGAATCTGGCATGCACGCTGATTCCTCAAGCGAGAACAAGTAATAACAAGTACAAATCCGTGAACCCTGGACCCTACATGCCCAAACAAGGCCTCGTTCATCTTCTGTGGGCCCACGGGTGTGGGCAAGACGGAGCTGTGCAAGGCCTTCAAGAGGGGTGGGAGCTTTTAGGAATTCGGGCTGGGAGAAGCTAGTCTTCTGGAACTACGAAGCTTGGGATAAGGGACTTACGCGCACACAGGGTCAATCTTGATCTTCTGGAACAAGCAACGCCAGCTTTCAAGATCGTTCGAAAGGCTGCTGTTAATCTTGCACCACTCCTGAAGTGCTTCACCTCGAACGCCTGAAAACTCTGAAACTCGAAATCCCGCGCACACCCTACAATAGACCATGCTGTAACCTGCTCGCACCTGCCGCATCTGATCATGTAATTGAGATGCAGTGTGCCTGAACTTGCAAGGCGTTGTCTGCGGCATACTTCGGCAAGGAGGATGCCATGATCCGCCTGGACATGAGCGAGCCGTGGCAGAATGGTGCTATGGATTGACTTTGGGGGCTTACGGTGAAGGGAACCAAATCATGGTTAAGATGACTAAGATCTCAGGATTCCAGGTTCGGAGAGGTGCACCGCAGCGCAGATCCCCTTTCTTAATCCAGCGGATCGTGTGGAGGTTTCTCTCGTCCGAGCTGGCGTAAGCCCCGAAGGGAGCACGAAGGCAGCATGAAATCCAAGTCTATCCCGATTATTTCACCATCCTTGGATCGCTCTTCTGAAGCCGCGAGATGCCAAACACCGAGGCCGAAGCCTAACCTCCAAAACAGAAGCTGGTTCTCCTCAACAGCAAGCCCTACGTGCATCCCTGTGCCGAAGCTCGAAAGCCTTGTGAGTCCCGATCTCAGGAGTTCATGGAGAGGCCGGGCCAAGGAGTTCAGAAGCTCTCCCCTTGTGGGTTTTGGGAAGTGAAAGTCTGAATATATCTCGATCATGATTAGTTAGATTGCGAAAAGAAGGCTCTTGTAATCTTGTCTGACCAAATTGCAAGTTATCCCCTATTCTCAGTACTTAGGCCAAATATTGTGGGGCACAGGCCCCCCGTGTCATTTCTTCCACAGGACGGGTGGGTTTAGGCTCTCCTTTGCCAGGTTGGTAACTTTGAGCCGCCCCAAACAAAAAGCAAGATTGCCTGCTGCCCGACAGGGCTGAGCTGTAGGACTCTGTCGGGATTTGGAGCTCGAGGGTTTAGACCTTGGTGCTTGTATGCATTTGCGTTGCAGGCTTCGTCGTTCAAGCTTTGGGGGTCTTTGTGTTTGAGGCATTCGGCTCGGACCCGCCATGTTCGCTGTCAGCCCTCAAATGTGCAAGTCATTCCTGGGCTGCTTCAGGCGTAAAATGACTTTGGATTGGAGCCGCGTTCCGCGAGTCCATCAGGGTGTCAACTCTGTAAACCCCGAGTTTTCAACTTTTCAGGACTTGCGAATTGAAGTGTGAGGGGTGTCAAGTGGACTCTGGAAGACTGGCGAATCGCAAGCACCATTCTCGTCCTTCGTGTCGCCTTTCTGCACATTAGTTGTATTGCTGTTCTATACGTCACGGCCAAAGTAGTCATCTATTGTTGGCCATAAATCCTACTGTATTCACTGCTATGGTCCAATGGTTGGCAGCAAGTGCTCGCTTGGAGACTTGCCATTGTCGACATTGTCTGCATTGAAAGGAGCGGCTGAATTTTCGGTTGTTGTTGTTGTTGTTGTTGCTGCTGCTGCTGCTGCTTTTGGTCCTACAGCGCCAAGACTCGCACGAATGCTTTGCATGGGGAGGCACACGGTCTCCAAACTTATTGGCAGCCCGCCCGGCTACGTTGGCTATGACGAGGCCGGGCCAAGGGACACCTGGACCCTTGCTTCTGCCAGGGCTTTGCTCAAGAAGGATTCAAGCAAAACGAAAACTCTGGATGAAGGTTTGTTTTCTATCTTGGCACTTGATTTAGAAGTCTGTTCAGTCCAAGCGTATGTGTGGTTGCTTTGTTCAGCATGCAGACCGGTAGACCATCAGATAGAACATGCAGTTCCCTCACTGCAGCCAGCTATGCTCAGACTCATGGGATTGCTGCGTCAGTTGCTACAACTTGTGGACTGCACTCGTGTTTTGGTCCTCTTCGGGTGCTCCGAAGTGGGACCTCTAAAGTCAGCTAGGGACAACTAGGAGTCCCGGATTTGCAGGTCCTCAAAGTAAGGATCCTGCTCCCAGGATCCCCGGCTTTCCGAAACTCTGCTGAAGGGCTCCGGTCTGGGGTTGAGGTGTTTTGGGTTTTGGGGGTTGCCGAATGGGTGAACCTCGCCGGGTCATGAGCAGAGTCTCCAAACCCCAAAGTCCGTCAAAGCCCCAACGCACCAACCCCAAATTCTGCACACTCAATCTGAAATTCACGTAACTGTCACTGTCACGTGGCCCGTAAGTTCGGCTTAGAGCCTGTGAACCCTGGGTCCTCATACTTCCCGGGGAGGAAAGTCAGCTGACCGACGGCGTGCGAAGGAGGCCGTACAGTTTAGTCCTCTTCGACGAGGTGGGCTCAGCCGAAGAGTCTTCAGGTTTATTTAGGGGTATGCGCCGGTATGGGTTTTGCTTTCAGGGTAGCGGGTGTCAGGGTTTTCGGGTCGGAGTAGCCCGCAGAACCTAGCGGCGCAGCGAGATTTCAATGAGTCACGAAATGCTGGTGCTCTGCTGAACCCAGCACCAGCAATCTCAAAGTCACCCTCGGCCGCCCTAGAAGCTTTGAAGGCTTTGTGCCCGGTGCCCCAGAAGCCATCTGAAGACCTTGGGACAGGTGGAGAAGGCGCATCCCGACGTCTTCAACCTCTGCCTGCAGATCCTCGAGGCAAGCTCGAAGAAGTGGCGGTAGTTTTTAGGGCCTGGAGTATTTTGCATGCTTTCGTACTTTCTAGAGGGATTTTTGGAGTGAGATTTTTTTCGCCGACTCAGGGTTCTTGTCTCGAATCTTGGGTAAGTTCTGGAATCCAAGGCAGGGTCGGTAGTTTGTGAATGTTGGGAGGATTGCAGTTGGAGGTTTGATATAAGCTGCGCACTGCAGTGCTAGATAGACGATGGAAGAGAGTAGCTACCAAAGCCACAACGGGCATGGGTCGGACCCCAGTGGAAGTCACCACCGTAAACCATGCGGTGGAACATACTCATGCCAGATACTCACCCAGCAATGCTTGCTGCAGGACGGCCGTCTCACTGACTCGAAGGGGCGGACGGTGTCATTTAAGAACGTGACTTTGGCAGCACCTAGCCATGTTGTCCCAGCTGCTAAAGCGGAGATGGAGAAGAAGTTCGACACGAGTATCGCTGTCTTGGCAGTAGCAGCACTGCAAACATCACACGGCGTGTAAATGTTGTGAAGAGCCGTGAACTCAGAAATCACCATCTCAGCCTAACTGAGACCTTGATCATCATGACCTCGAACGTCGGCGCCAAGGCTCGTCTGAAGGAGTGTTGGGCTGTCGACCATTGGATATTTGCTGTAGGTCTCAGCGTTCTGTAAGAGTCTAGGTTTCACCGGTAACGACACACGGGCCTCCTTGTCCAAGCGTCGATCGAGTAGTACTTCCGTTGGCTCCGAGGACAGGATCCGTCACTAGCTCAACAAATCTGCCGGCAATGACATGGGCATGCTACAACCTAAGTAAGCAGGGTTCTTTCGCTGCCTGATCTGTGGTGTTGGGAGTATTGCGCGAGGCGATCGAGAAGGGTCTCTTGGGCGGAGGCGGCCTTGGGTGATGACCCCAGTCTCTGTGGCTGGTTCTCTTGGGAAGATGAACGGTTCTCTACTTTTCATACCAAGGTTTCTTGATAGTTGCGAGAGCAAATGCCTTGTACAGTTCGATGCCTGTGGTTCTGGCTTGTGTTTATTCACGACGATTGCTTTGCGTTGCGGCAAAAAGCAACGACGGGTTGGCAGCGGTTGGCAGCTGTCTTTGTCATTCGTGGCTGACAAATCAGGAAACTTCAGTAGTGAAGTTTCAGTTCCTGTGGGGAGCTTGTGTGCTACCCCCAATATGGACCCTTACGATTCCATTTTTAGTCTGAGCCGAACGTCTCTTTGCTTTCAGGTTCGCTGGGCTTGAGGACGATGTCGACACCTCCAACTACCAGAGGCACCCGTGCAAATTCCACAAGACAAGGGCATGCCAGGGTTGTTTGCACTGCAGCTCACGTAGGACTAACTAACAACAGGAACCCGAAGTTCCGGGTAACAGAGCGCGCATGTGGCGTCACCTTGCAGCCTGTCTTTCGGTCGTGAAGCATGAGCCACTAGCAGCCAGTTTCGTCCAAAGGCTGAGCATTCCAAGCCACACTTTCAGCCTCAAATCCGAAACCCCAAGGCCTCAAGCCTTACGCCTCGATCTCAAAGGGTCCTCCTAAGTCCTAACCCGGTTGCAGTGCTCGTTCGGTGCACTGCTAGCAGAAGCTTCCGACGAGCACAGTCTTAAAACCATCCTGAACCTTAAAAAATTTCAGAATGAAAACCCAAAATCTGAAAGTCATAACCCCCGAACCCCGAAACGTGAAAGCCGTGCTGCATTGACCGAATCCAGCGTGTCCAGAGGTTGAAGACCGTCGTGCATGACGAGCTCAAGAACTTCTTCCGACCAGCCTCTTTGAGTCACAATTGGCTTGCTTGAGGTTTCTGTTGAGGTTTCATGAATGAGCTGAAATAGCTAAAGATTCGTTGGGTGGCACTTCACTGGAATTCGTAGGGGCTAAGGCAGGCGTCAAAGTTACTTAGTATGTTAGTTCCGGGGCTCAAGATGTAGAGTCTGACATGGGGTATGGCTTCAGCCCGCATTAGGACTGCGCATGTCGCACATCTCAAACAGAAGCCCTATGTCCACAGCCTCTGAACGTCCAACGCACTACGCCCGAAAGCCAAAATCGCACATCTGGGTGCAGAGTCCCACAGGCTTGAAGCCCACAAGCATAGCTTACCAGCGGATTTCTCCAAGGAGTTCTTGAACCGACTGGACGAGGTCGGCAAGCTTCTTTTCCTTTGAGATTTCAGCCCCTGTTTGATTCTTCGCCTAAGCCCGACGGCTCGATGCCATGTGGGAAACCTGCACAGCCAGAACGATCGATTCAGCGTCCTCAGGGTCAGTTCTAAATTGGCTTTCGTGTGATTGCGTCTTTCTTGCTTGTGGCTGTCTCCGGGTCTACTGCCGGCAAAGCTTCAAGCGCGATGCTTTTGGATGTCATGACTGCATGCATGTGGCGTCTGTAGCTGCAGCACTGCGGCTGGGCAGAGATGCCGCAGACCCACATACTATTGCGCAAGAATCCGTCAATGCATGTCCAAATAGGTCGCAAGTCCATCGCCCCAACCGCCAAGCAAGAGCCAAACGAAAGAGATTGAGTCCTGCCAAGGCCCGGCACAGCCAAATGCCAGATCCTCAACCCAGGTCCCAAACCTCATTGACCGCAGAACACATGTGAGCTCCAAGGCGTATAAGTATAAGCCCAAAGGCCAACTCCTCAAGCCCAAACAGCTAACAATCTGGAGTGCTCTGCCAGATCATCGTCTTCAAGTCCCTGAACAAGCAGGAGGTGGATCTCAGTTTGGGACCGTGGGTTGGAGGGTACTGAGCAGGTGGCTGGGGGGTCTTCCGAAGCTGCCCTGGACATCGAAGGTGTGCCTGCTCCGCCCGGATTTATTTGAATGCACTTTAGCCCAAAGCCCGGCATACACGAATCTCCAAACCTCAAGTCCCGAACCGAAAACCCGAAATCTGAGATTCGAATAGCCCCCAACTGATGAAGCCACGCCCCTTGAAGAAAGAACCAGGTCGCTCAGATCGCGGAGCTGGAATTCAGGACACGGCTGCGCCCCCCTTGTGGTTGCTTGGCATCGGGGATGTATCTTCAAGGTCTCGGTTGGCATTAGGGCATCCGGCGCACCGGGATTTTTCGCGGGGTGAGCGCGACATCACGGCACAGCCCAGCTTTCGGCAGGAAAGTCTTCAAGCTGTGCGTGGAGAAGGGCATCAAGCTCTCCATGACAGATCGATTCAAGAAGAAGGCCATGCCCGCTGTGAATCTTGAGCCAAGACGCGATAGCCGGAAGATTCGTGGACCTGAGCATGGCATAAGCATTTCTGAAGACGCAGCAGTCGGTTGAGAGTCTAGGTTTGGGCAGGACTTTCAGGCCTCAGGTTGTGGTCTGCGAGGTTTGGGACGTTGTACGATTTTTTTTTTAAATTTCAGCTCACCGCTTGACCTTCCCGTGATGTTCGCTTCGCAGGTAACGAGCTGGCAAGATCTTTCTCTACCAGACCTGCCTAAACTCGAAACCCTACACACGAAACCTTGGGTGCCCTAAACCCTA